AAGATGAGTTTAAGAGAGTAAAGTTGCAAGCCACAGAGTAAGAGAACACATTTATAACAGATATAGCTAATTAAAGATTTGTAATAAAAATATATTAAAAATTCCTATGCAGTTATGCATCACATAACAATATTTTAGTCAATGACAGACTTCATATACAATAGTGGTCCCATAAGATTATAATAGTGTATTTTACTATATCTTATCTATGCTCAGATATGTTTAGATACATACATACTGTGTGTGTTTGTTTTCACACTGCTGATAAAGACATACTCAAGGACTGGGCAATTGACAAAAGAGAGAGGTTTAATGAACTCAGAGTTCCACATGCCTGGGGAGGCCTCACAATCATGGTGGAAAGGAAAAGACACATCTCACATGGCAGCAGACAAGAGAAGAGAATAAGCGCCAAGGGAAAGGGGTTTCCCCTTATAAAACCATCAGTTCTCATGAGACTTATTCAGTACCATGAGAATAGTATGGGGGGAACCGCCCCCATGATTCAATTATCTCCCACTGGGTCCTTCCCACAATACGAGGGAATTATGGGAGCTACAATTCGAGATGAGATTTGGGTGGGGACACAGTCAAACTCTATCACATACTTTCCATTGTGTTACAATTGCCTACAGTATTCAGTACAGTAATATGCTGTTTAGGTTTGTAGCCTAGGAAAAATAGGCCATATCATATAGCCTAGATGTATAGTAGGCCTTACCATCTGGATTCCTGTAAGTAGCACATTCTATGATGTTTACACAATGACACAATCACCTAATGATTCATTTCTTAGAATGTATTCTCATCATTAAGGGTCCATGACTGTATTTTTAAAAAGACAAAAATCTAATTAAGAAAAGTCCAAAAAGCTTAATCAGAGTCTACATAAAAGAGGATATCCAAATAATCAATAAACATAACACAAGTGTCTCAATATCACTAGTCATCAGGAAAATCCAATTTATAAGATCAATGATGTTCCACTTCATACCCACCAGAAGTTAAAATTAACAAAACTTACAATAGCAAGTGTTGGCAAGGATCTGGAGCAGCTGGAACACTTACACTCAGTTAATAGAGTGTACATCGGTACAACCAATGTATTAATCCATTTGCATTGCTATAAAGGAATACCTGACACTGAGTAATTTATAAGGAAAATAGGTTTATTTGGCTCACAGTTCTGTGGGCTGTACAACCATGGCACCAGCATCTGCTTAGCTTCTGGTGAGACCCAGGAAACTTCCAATCATGGTGGAAGGCAAAGGGGGAACAGGTGTGTCACATGGTGACAAAGTGAGCAAGAGAGGGAGGGAGGAGGCACCAGGATCTTTTAAACAACCAGATCTAGTGTGAACTAAGAGTGAGAAGTTACTCATTATTGTGAGGACAGCACCAAGACATTCATAAGGGATCCGCCCCCAAGACCCAAACACCTCCCACTAAGCCCATCTCCAACACTGGAGGTCACATTTCAACATGAGATTTGGAGGGAACAAAACATCCAAACCATATCAAGCAGTTAGAAAACTGATACTATCTACTAAAGACGAACATTCTCATACTTGATAAGCCAGCAATTCTACTTATATGTATAATGTGCTCCCCTACTCTGCACACATATAAACGCAGTAAAAGTCACTAACCAGACTGTTTAAAGCAGTGCTATTTTTAATAGACAAAAACTTGAGACACTGTGAATTACCACACATAGTAGAATGTGTAAATAAATTTGTTGGTATATGCATACATGGATAATACAAGACAATGAAAAAAATACTTCTGCGTGAAACAAAATGAATGAGTCTCAAAGGTGTAATGTTGAGGAAAGAAACTGGGTACAAAAAAGATGTTATTTACTATTTCATTCATATGAAAGTCAAAACAATTGAAACAGTTCTTCAATGACAAAAATCATAACAGTGGTTGCCCAGAGGGTAGCGACCAGGTGAAGCATGAATGAGGCTTCTGGGGTGGTGTTAATGTTCCATATTTTTATTTCAGTTGTGACTTCATAGATGCATCTAGCTCTACACTTGAGATGTGTGCACTGTACTGTGGGTATGAGATCTATCTATATCTGTATCTACATCTGTTGGTATAAATGAGGAAACTTTGTATATACCTGTATACAGATAATCTAGGATACATTGTTAAGAAAAGAAGGCACTGAATAATGCTTGTAATATGTAACACTTGTGTAAGAAAAATAAACAATAAAAATATATTTTTGTTTCCATTTGTATTTTCATGAGACCCTATAAACATGCTTAGCCTTAGAAAGTATAGGAGTGAATGGGAAACCGAGGCAACAGAGATGAAGTTAAAGGACACTTTCCGTGTCCATTTATAATACCATTTTGATTTTGAATGAAGTTAACATTCCTAATTTTAAAAATATTCTTTGATACATATACGTTCCAAAGATGAAAATAATTTGTTTGCTTGCTACATTGTTCCTCAAAATTGCTAGAATGCAGTTATGTTTCCCTTTTCTATAAAGCATTGCTTCCTTTGTGAGGAACGTACCTTTCATTCAGATCATCCATTTAGATAAGTTCAACTGTGCCCATGATTACATCAAATATATTAAATAGTTTCTCACTGAGTTGTGTGTGTGAGTGCACAGAGACACAGAGGGAGAGAGAGAGAGAAAGAGAGATGCTTCTTTCCTAGGCAAACACCATACACTAAATGTTTTAATGTTTTGAGATGCTTCCTTTAGTGTTTATTTTAACACTACCTTTGCTAACTTAGATTGCCGGAATACCTTCAGATATTTTACTGAGTGCTCAACCCTTGGTGTTGTCTTGGGGTACATGAGTCACTTTTCCATCTCAGCTGTCATTCAGAGTATCACTTTTCCACAGGCCTCTTATATGTTCCATGTATTCTGATTCAGTCACTTGAAGGACATTCTGCTGTCATTGATTTATAGTAATTGTGAAAATGACACAAAACTAAATTTTTTAAATGCAAAATTGTTTTTGTCAGTGGTAATGTTCCCATTTTTATATTTGGTTCGTGTAGCTCTGATTTTTATTTGCTGCTTTGGCTGATGCCACTTGGCAACACTAGGTCTTCAATGCAGGTTGCATTTGGATCATTTAATAACAAAACTGGAAGGAAATTTGAAAGATCTTAGCAATAATACCACTTTACAAGGTACTTTTCCATAATATTCCTCGCCAAAGATGAAAGTCCTTTTGCTGCTGTAGCACTTCTATTTTCATTTGGAGATGAAGCATTGAAGGACAGAGAAGATAAATGACCAGAGTTACTCCTAGAGTTAAAGCCTGACCTTGGGTTTGTGGACCCCTCATCCGGTGGGCTCTCCACCACAGCACGGGTTTTCTGAAAAGACATCTGGCCTGGCAGAGCTACTCAGAGGCATGGAGTATTCTACTGACCTACCATTGTTATTTAAGAGAATTTGGGATGGGGTGGGTAAAAAAATAGTACTAATGACTTAACACAAGTACTAAACTCATGCTAATAGTTCAATAAGAAGCATAGATAAGTGAAATGATGACATTGTAGAGGGCAAACGGCCTGGAGCTGGATGTGGCTATATGAGAAACGAAGAATTTCCTTCTTTTTGCTATCACTGCTTTGCTAACATGTGTTTCTTACTGGAACTTGTATGACTCAAATACTAATATGTAATAATTCACTTCATCAATTATTCTGAGCTCTTCTTTAGAGTTCAAGTATGTTTTACAATTATTTGTCTTCTTATTTTATTAACCTGAATCTTCGGAAAGCTGAATTTAAAGAAGTTGTTTTTGCTTTCTTCTTATTTGGGGCACTTTTTTTTTTTTTAATGACTAATGATTTTCAATAGTTGGATAGTTTGGGAAAATAAAGGTCTCTATTTTATACACAAAGGAAAGCATCTACAGTAATAACTAAATGTTTTATGGGCATATATGATTAATAAGGGGGAAAGGAAAGGTAAAGGGTAGTGCTGATATAATCCTGAAATGAATAGAGCAAAGAATGTTGCAAGGAGGCCAGCTCCTGGGAAGTCGTGCTGAGCTTCCATTTCTTAATTAGTTTGCAAATAACAAAGGGAAGCTTTTACGATGGTGACGATATCATATGGAGTCACAAAGGGCAGGAAGGATATGAATAGGATTAGAAAAAGATTTGAGCTCTCAATTCCATTGGTTCTGCTGCTAACTAACAATGTGCCTCTGGGCCTGCCACCTAAACTCTCTGACATTTATTTTCTTTACTCTAAAGCAAGTGAATGCAACACACTCTTAAGGCACTTTTCAGCTTTCAAGTAGGAAAAAAGACAAGTCTTTCCATAGGGTGTTACATCTCTATCACCGATTATAATTTGCAAGATGGATTTGGGGATACTGGAAAAATAAGCCAATATTTGTAATAATACCCTGAAAACTGAAGAACAATTGGGAGTTACTTCATCAAGGTTCTAGGCCTGGTTTTGAAGTAGTCAGTTACTTTGGGCAAATTTTCACGTTTCTCTAAGGATTAGTTTCATTTTCTGTATGTGCCACTTGACATATATGGACATTGAGTTTTCTATCAGCAATATTTGTTATCTCTTTGCTTTTTTCTCCAGAAAAATTACTCAAGGGTGCAAGTTAAATCTCTAAAATATACAGTATCTCAATACCAGTTTCTAAAATATTTCTGCAAGAAGTTGAGAAGTTTTGAAAAGATATGCCAGAATGAGCCATCATACAGGTGCTTTTGCTAGGGTTCATTAAAGAAAAAAAAAACTTGCCCTATTTGAATAATGATTTATCAGGCTTTAAGAAATCTAAACATAAATCAAAAACCTTGGGAAAAATCAATTCTTATTTTCAGATCTTTATTTATTAAGAGGGGATGAAGAGTGGGTAAAAGCAGGGATGTAATGGGAGTAGTGTATACCAATTGTGCAAAATAACTAAAACAATTATGAAATACTTACATATTCCTGGCCAGTATAACTTGAATTATGAATGAACCATTAAAGACAAAGATTCTTAATCAACCTTTTATCTTTTCCTTTTAAAATGCAAGGCATCAAACTTGAAAGAGTTATAACTATTTTATTTGATGGTAACATACAAACAAATGACAGTTTAGATAATATTTTAAAAGTGCTATGATCATTGTAACTTTAATCAGATAAAACGTAATTAGTATTAACATCGTTTACATTATAGCTGATTTGTCTAAATTCTAATTACAATAAAATATGTCATGTTTTATCTCATCAAATAGTTTTTATATTGAGAGTGAAGGAAACAGTAAAACAGAGGAAAAATTAGTGCCATATTCAAAAGCATTACTTCAGAAATTTACTTTAATATCATATTTATATTAAAATATTTCATTTGTCTCCATGATATTTCTATGAGATATTAGACTGTTTGTCGCTATATCCCTATTTTACTCATGGAGAAACAAACATAGTATGTTTAGTAAATTTTTCAGGTCACTCACTATGTCAGAATAGCACTGGGAATATAATTTATTATATTTTTCTTATACAATCCAGCACCTAACACAGTGCCCTAAAAGAGTAAGTATTCAATAAACAGTCATTGAATGAAAGAATGGGCAAACCATTCTGCTCTATGAAATCTAAAACATCTATCGCATTTGCTATTTCTTTACTCAGTAAATTGAGCAGGCTGGAGGAGCAGTTGAGCAATCAACTTTATCCACTCTCCTACCCACAAGTTTAGATTGTCACCTGAAGGGGCTTTGCAAGATGGTACTGCCTGGTCTTTCCTGAAATTATGCACTTCCAGGATGTCCCACATTCCCCATAGAGTCATTGATCTGGTTCATGTAACACTGGCTTTCGTGGTGTGAATGAGGTCCACCAGCTTCTGGCGGAGGCCAAATATCCATTATTAGTAATGAACATATTACTGATACCTAGCCTAATGATTTTTAGTGAAACCGTTTTATATCTTGGTCCTAAAGAACCATAGTTAGTGGCAATCCTTGAAAATAAATCATTCGGCTAGTATTGGCTCTGTCTTTCTCAGGCCTTGCTGATGATAATTACAACGCTAGAAAGGATAACTCAATTTATTTCCTGAGTTAATTTGTCATAAGTTCAGCCGCAACTGTAAACATGATAAAAGTCACAGAGACATGACTTTTAGAGTTGATAAAAACAATGTGGTAAAGAACACGAGTATTTATATTACTAGGAATATGACAAAAACGTAACAGTCATTCCCAGTGAAGCACTGTCGTGTAGATTAAAAATTGTTATCCATGTCATTGGCACTGATGACCAGTTACCTAAAATACAAGTAAGACATCTCATGAAGACATTTAAGGCTAAAATGAATTCCTTAAACTTTAATGGCATTCACATTTTGCCATTATGAGAAAGAAAACATTTTATTTCACAGAAAGAATATATTAAAGTGAAATGAAAATACCTTTACATCTGTCACCCAAATTTAGTGATTGATCTAAAATTTCACCCAGGTGACATTTTTATTAGGACACAGTCTGGAGAAATTTCAGAATTCTACATCTCATTTGCTAATATTTTAAACAAATGATTCACCAGACCTGCCTAACTGAATGGTGTATTTCCACTGGACTGAATGTCCTAATTATCATTCAAGACATATCTTAAAGATTTATCAAGCATTTATTCTCCATCTTACCATGTCTAAAGCTCAGAGATATTTTGAGCTCTAAAAGAGTATCACAAGAAATTAATAGCAGTCTGTAGTACAACTGCTACCCATTCTTAGAGCAAAGCCACAACTAAAATAGAAATAGACATAAATAAAATAAAATCATTAAGCATCAACTTATTGGGTAAATTAAGTTTAGATACCCATATGATGCAAAAAAGTCACTTTTATATAAGCTTTCCCATCTTTTACACTTAGAGCACAGTCTGTGTTGTCATTAAAAAAATAATAGCTAACTGAAGCCAGGAATTCCATTTTGTAATTGTGTCAATTATTTTAAAGACACCATTATTAAGTAAACTTTGAATTAGCTTGTGTACAACCTTATAGTGATTGGAGATAAGATAAATACAAGCACCACAGCAAACACACATAACAGATTCTGGAGACTTAGACCCTTAAACATGTCTGCTCATCACTCAATCCATTTGGCCACCTTTTCTGTCCACACCAGGCCAAAGAGCAATATGTTTTCACAGAAACTCTCTGGGTTGCATAATCTTAATTGCCTGAACCATTGTGGACAAAATATCTCATTTTAAAAATCTTAAAGCACTTGTAAGGGTCATACTGTGTGTTTACTGTCCTTGTTGCTTCTGTCCCGGAGAATTTGCTTGGCCAGAGCTCTCTCCAGGGCGGGGTGCAGGAGTGAAAGGAAACTGAAATCCATAGCCATTGTACCCATCCAAGTAGACACACTGGAAGAAACTGATGGGACCTGAGGAACAGAGTATGACAATTTGTTAAAACATGCAGAACATGAGTGAAAAAGCACAGTGAGGCAGTACAGTGCGGCAGATAAGGTCACAGATTCTGCCATCAGCCTCTGTAGCTGTTGGCAAGTTACTAAACCTCGTTGTGTCTTGGAGTCTTCATGTATAAAATCAAAACAACGAAAACCTCACAGAAATATTATGACAGTTAAACGAGTTACATGTGCTCTTAAAATTCCTCCTGGTACACAATAAGCCTTTAATAAGTGATAATAAAAATGGCCTGGCAGAGAAAGTCAAAGTTCTGATCATATAGACATCTGTTGATATACATAGCAATCACAGAGACATAGTCACAGGTTTCAAAACATGAGCTTATCAATATGCAAAACAACAGACTCTGTGTGTGTGTGTGCATGTTTTATGATGTCACAGAGAGGTGGCTGCCAACATCTAGAAGTTTTGTTTGCCCTTACTTTAGAGGCAAGAGCTTTCCTAAGGTGGTTTGATTGCTCTTTAAGCAACCAAGGTAGCAGCCAGGTAGCAGCTCTGAGCAGAAAGCAAAACAGGAAAGTTAATGGAATGTGGTGCAAGTAAGGATTCTGGACTCAGTAAGCCGGTACTCTCAGGTAGCAGCTTTGGTAAAAGATGGCAGGTTTAGCATCTCCTCACAATCTTGGGTGCCAGATTTCCAGTGTTTTCTATCCTACCCATTGGCATTCTGTCACCCAACCATAGATTTTTGCAGAAGGCCAGGAAAGAAAAATGATAATTAAGGCTAGTGGTGTGCGGGAGATAAGGAAGATGGCCCAATCTATACGAGACTAGGGGTTTATGAAGTAGAATTGGAGATGCAACCAGGCAGTATTCCGATTCCATTTCCATGGGTCACTGAGTTTTCAGGGATGATAATAGTTTGAAGAATCTTGAATTTAGTTCTCTTTTCCAATGCATCTCATCTGAAATGATTTCTCTTTTCTTCTATCTTCAAACCGAAGCAATAATACAACTCCCCTCTCTTCAAGTTTGTGGAGGTTATGGGGGCTTGGGAGTTAGGCAGGCTACAAGAGGGACAGTAGTAAAGCCAGCCCTGCACGAGGAGGAATGGCAACCCAGTGCTAAAAGTAGAAGGGCCCATCGATGACAGGCTGCCTTCCAGCTACTTATCAGAAGTGGACACTGTTCTGACACATTTATTTAGTTGATGTTGAATAAGCTGATAAAATATTATTATGACTGCAAGTATCAGAGCTTACATTAAAGGTTCATGAGTATCAGTCTATAGAACTGCCTTATTGTAAGTTGAAGATAGCAAATATCATTTTGATGCAATAGATCCCCCCAATGAAGTTAGAATATTTGACACCATTTTACTAAAAGTATTTGTGTTTTGTTTTTAATTAAAATTTTTACTTCAAAATAATTGTAGATTCACATGTAATTGTAAGAATTAATACAGAAAGATCCCACATGTCTTCACCTAGTTTCCCTCAGTAGTAACATATTGTAAAACCATAGAACAATATTCCAACCAGGAAACTGGCATTGACACAATTCACCTGTCTCATTGAATTATATTTTAATAGTTATTTATAAATATGAGATTTCAAATGTTTATGTGACATAGCCACAAATTATTACCAGTAGGTTAATAATTGGGAAAGTGTTGCCATATAAAGTGAAAATATGTCCAGATTGACCTATAATTCTTTTTCTTATGGATTTTGTAATATTACTCAAAAGTTTCATAAGACTCTGCTTATTTCCCTATATTTCTCACAACCTTATTATATGAAGGATTATAATAAGTGTCTTATCTACTGCACTAGTTCCAGCATCCAAAGAAGTACTTGGAACACAGTAGGCGTTCAGTATCTGTCTAATGAATCACCTATTAGTACCGAGCAGGAGGCATTTGCTATTTTAAGGGCATTTTAGTAATTTCCTGCACAAATACATCCAAGAAGCACTGGAGAATCAAGAAACATCATTTCTTCAGACAAATATCTAGCTCTTTACTTTAAAAGCATTCTGTGAAAGAAACTTCAGTTATACCTATTTCAAAATTGCTTCCTTTACGCTGTTCTGCAATGACGTTAATGCATATGTAGATTCAAAATTTATTGCTTTACCATATGAACAAAAATGTCTAATTTGGAAGAACCAAAATAATGAGAAACTTGGGCATTGAATTTTGTAACTGCATATGAATATTGATTGGATTCCAAAATAAATGATCCCAAAGATTGAATATTTAGAATCTACCATATATCTAGAAAAATCAAAAAGAATCTTGAATCTTAGAAGTGAGTTTCCAAGCAATCGAATTGCTAAAACCTATTTCTTCATTTTTTTTCTACCTGATATAAAAAAATTTGGCATATTACTTCAGCTGTCCTATTATAAAGCAGACGGTAACACACATTTAAGCATAGATTCAGCCATAGTACTAAGGATCAAAAATATGCAGAAGGATTTGCGATAAATGCCACTTCAATCATTACCTGTAACTCTTCCAACTATGTGCCTCTTGCCTAACACAAAAGTGCTACGCTTCTCTTTAAAATATAAATGACCTACTTTAATGTTATTCTTCATGTCTATGCTAAAAATTTTCTTCTTCGAATACTGGTCTTAAAAGAGTTTAACATTTTTACATAGATGTAGCATCTTTAATATAGAATGATTTATTACTTTTAATCTCATTACAAACTTACTTTTCTGCTTCTTTGTTGAAGACACCTCTTCAGTTTCTTCTACTGGATAAAAAAAAATGAAAGTAAATAACTTGTACATTTACAGCTATTATATAAATATGTATGGGACTGAGAACGTCTAAACAGGAGCACACTGTGAAAGAAACAGGAGTTACTCTTTTTATAGTATACCCCAGATTTGTACACAGATTCTATTAATATTTTCACTATAAAATTTGATAGGCAAGAGACAAAGATAGAAAGGGAGCCCATGAAAAAAAAATGGCATGCTGCAAACAATTGTTTAAATAGGAAAACTGGCCCTGATGTGTCACATATTCACTAATGAGGATAGTTGACATGCATCCCTTTCCTGAGAAGAGATCTTTGATGCTCAGAGTTACAATTTGGTAAGGGTAAAATCTGGCTAAAGATGACCATTTTAGTCAAAATAATTCCAAATTTGGAGGGACATATGTTTTTCATGATCATCCTTGCCATGAAAGTAGAGCAGCAGCCCACTATCCTGCATTCTTCCCTTTTTACATCTGATTCACTGACTATTTATTTTTGCTGTAGCAATATACATCACAAGTTTATGTAGTGTTGGATAACTTGGAACTATTCCTTTGAATCCCTTTCTTCTGATTAGAAGTTCTTAATTGGTATCCATGAATGGGGTTTTGGGGGGTTTTCTATAAAACATTGAAATAGTAAGTTGTGAGAGAGAGAGTGTGTGTGTGTGTGTGTGTTTGTGTGTATATGTATGTTAGTGTGTGTGTTTCATAGAAAGTTAGGTTTATAGATCTTATCAATTTTTCAATTGGTTCTAGAGCTGTTCCCCTCAGAGTGTGATCTATGTACCAGTAGTTTCAGCATCACTTGATTCATTCATATAAATTCAGATTTTTAGGTTTTAACTCAGACATTTAATTCTAAGGAGACCTACAGTTGATCTGTACGAACATTAAAGTTTTAGAAGCACTGGTCTATGAGTAGAAAACCTATTAGGGTGGCTATTCTTAATTCAATTTACATATATATATTATATTATACATATTATATATATATATAGTATTCAGAAAAGTATCTTAATTCAAGTGTAAATCTTAACTTTTATTTCATAAGGTACCCGTCCTGTGTGTCTTTCTCAAAGCACTATTTTCCACATTGTAGTTAATTTTGGGCAATGGCAAAGAATTTATACTTTGTTGGCTAGAACAATGCTTAGGCAAATTCTTATTGCCTGCAGACAAATTTAGAAGTGGAAGAGAAAATACTTGTTTTTTATATGCCAACTATATACCTGACAAAGGTCTAATACCCAGGATCTATAAAGCACTTAAACAAATTTACAAGAAAAAAGCAAACCACCCCATTACAAAGTGGTCAAAGGACATGAACAGATACTTTTCAAATGAAGACATACATTCAATCAACAAGTGTATGAAGAAAAGCTCAACATCACTACTCATTAGAGAAATGCAAATCAAAACTACAATAAGATAACATCTCACACCAGTAAGCATGACTATTATGAAAAAGTCAAAAACATATGTTGGTGAGCTTGCAGAGAGAAGGGAACACTTACAGACTGTTGGTGGGTGTGTGTATTAGTTCAACTATTGTGGATAGCTGAATATCCACATGATGACAGTGTGGTGATTCCTCAAAGAGCTAAAAACAGAACTATCACTCAAATCAGCAATTCCATTGCTGGGTAGATACACAGAGGAATATAAATCATTCTATCATAAAGACACATGCATACATACATTCATTGTGGCACTATTCTCAATAGCAAAGACATGGAATCAACCTAAATGCCAATCCATGGTAGACTGGATAAAGAAAATGTGGTACATATATACCATGGAATACTGTGCTACCATAAAAAAGAACAAGATTGTGTCCTCTGTAGGAACATGTATAGAGCTGGAGGTCATTATCCTTAGCAAACTAATGCAGGAACAGAAACCCATATATTGCATATTCTTACTTATAAGTGGGAGCTAAATAATGAGAAAACATGAACACAAAGAGTGGAGCAACAGACACTGAGGCCTATGCAAGGGCTGAGAGAGGAAGGAGAAAGAGGATCCGAAAACATAACTAATGGAGAGTACGATTGATCTGTACAACCAACCCCCATGACACGAGTTTACCTATATAACAAACCTACACATGTACCCCTAAACCTAAAATAAAAGTTCTTTTTTTTTTTTAAGATAATACCTTTTTTAATACCAGACCATAATGAAGAAGCCAAGAACCTTTCAGAACAAAAATCAAGCCAGCTGAAGTCCTCACTCTACAGATGGAGAAATTTTGTCCTGGAAAAACTTTATGAAGGTCATATATCTGGAGACTGCAGGTTTTTCTGATTGCCTGTCCTCTGGCTTGGGCTGGAAGAGTGCAGGGGTTGAGTCCTACCTTCCATTTCTCCCTCCCTCCCTCCCTTCTTCCTTCCCTCCCTCCCTCCCTCCTTCCCTTCCTTCCTTCCTTCCTTCCTTCCTTCCTTCCTTCCTTCCTTCCTTCCTTCCTTCCTTCCTTCCTGATGGTGATGCTAATATAGGTGACTCGTGTCAAGTCTTCTTGATAAAATCATGGTATTCTTGTAATTCTTGATAGAATAGTGATTTTGAAGTATTATTCCCGTAGGTTGGCCAATAAATGCATCTGATAATTGAAAATAAATCAATACCCAACTAGAGTCTTTAATATGTGAAAATATGTATATATTCTAAATAAAGTTAAAAAGCTGTTTGTTTTAAAAATAAGCCTACCATGTAAACGTTGCCTAGAAAAGCTGAGGACTAGATCAAGAATAGCTAGGAAAAAAATAAAGACAGATAAAAACCTTATAGATTTGAGAGAAAACTTGTAAATGATCCAAAGACAGCAAACTCACCTTTAGCTTTCTTTGAAGCGGGTACATCTTCAACATCTTCTAGAGTACAGAAAAAAGGCACATAGAATCACAGTCAATTTTTCAGTTTTCACAAAGAGGAAGTATTGTATTTAAAGGTTTTTAAGAGTCACAAGATCCCTGAATCTACAAACTCAGCACCTACAGTCTCCATAAATAAAAGCTTTATGACCAAAACAGGCACTTCTCTGACATGGAGAGAGGATGTGGAGAAAATGATGAGTGCTGCACTATGATAATCAGGCTGGCAAAGGTTACTTAGAGAAAAGGCCTGTGGTGACCTCCAACACCCACCCCCAGGTTTCCCTCCTCCTCTGACTCCTGAAGCTCCTTGCAAAAATCATAATCACTTATAGAATTTAGGAAGTTAAGGTAAATGGATTCACACATACAGGCTAGATAAAGAGATCGGTGTCTACCCACACAATTTATTAGCAGATTGATTAGATTTGAGCCTCTTCGACAATTCTAAAAACCCCAGAAACAAACCCATGCATATACATGGGTCAACTAATCTTTGAAAAATGTACCAAGAATAAACAATGGGGGGAATATAGTCTCTTCAATATACGCTGTTGGGAAAACTGGATATCTATATGCAAAACAATGAAAGTGGACCTTTATCTTTCACCACCCCAAAATCAATTCAAAATGGATTTAAAGACTTAAATGTAAAATCTGAAACACTTTTAAAAGTAAACGTCGGGGAAGAGCTTCTTAACATTGGTCTTCGCAATGATTTTATGAATCTGACACTAAAAGTATAGGCAACAAAAGCAAAAATAAACAATTGGAACTACATCACACTAAAACGTTTATGTACAGCAAAAGAAAAAATGAACAAAATGAAAAGGCAAATTATGAAATGGGAGAAAATATTTGCAAGCTATTTATCAAAAGGAGATTAATACCTAAAATATACAAGACATTGATACAACTCAATAGCAAAAAAAAAAAAAAAACAAATAAATGAGCAAAGGACCTGAACAGACACTTTTCTAAAGACTATACAAATGACCAACAGGCACGTGAAAAGATGCCTTATGTTATTAATTATCATGAAATGAAATAAAACCACAATGAGATATCACCTCATATCTGTTAGAATAGTGATTATCAAAAAGTCAAATAAGATGTGTTGGTGAGGATTTAAGAGAAAAGGGAACTCCTGTACAATGTTGATGGGAATGTAAATTGATATTGCCATTATGGAAAGTAGTATGGAGGTTCCTCAAAAATTTGTTTATTTATTTATTTATTTCGCCACTAGACAATAGTCATCCTCAACATATTTAAGAAGTAGTTACCATATGATCCAGCAATTTCACCTCTGGGTATATATCCAAATATATATCAAGTATATTGTATGCTTGAAACTTTCTAAGAGAGTACATCTTAAATGTTCTCACCACACACACACACACACACACACACACACATACATACACACACACACATACACACACACACATACACATACACACACACACACACACACACACACAGAATGGTGGTAACTATGTGAGGTGATGGCTATGTTGATTAGCTTGATGTTGGTAATTATTTCATAATGTATATGTAGATCAAAATATCATATTGTATATAAAATATATATATATAATTTTTATTTGTCACTTATACCTCAATAAATTAGTGGGGAAAGGAAGATACTACATTTGAACTAAAGCTCAAATACGTATACAATGACTCTTAAGTTGTATTGTGTAAATCACTTGGTCTTTTCTGCATTCAACTTACAAGCACATATTGGAATAATGTGGAAGTAGTTTTAAGTCAGGTAATTCTAATGCAATATAATGGAATTATGCTTTAATTTTTAACATTTGAAATTATCTGAAAGAAGGTCAGTTTTGTATTTTTTATTTAGATTTTGCATACCAACTGTTCACTAATAAATGAAAAACGGGTAAGATAGGGTCAGCATGCAAATTTCCTCTAATAGGAAGGCAATGTGACCTTTATAGAAAAATGTTATTATGTAGAAGAACATAACAGAAAAAGAATGAAAATTACTAGAATATTTTTAATATATATTATTAAAGTTTAGTTCTGATCAGTTTTAAATAATATTTAAACATATGTTTAATTAGATTAAATACCGGATAAAATGACCATGGTCTTGAACTGCTTAATCAACAGCTATAAATAATAGAACAGTACAAACTGTTACATGATGTTGTGAAATAACTTAATGTGTATATTTTAAAAATGATTTCAGTTCCTAAACAAATCAACTAATATCTTAATTGTGTAATAAGAGCCTACTAATTTCTATGAAAGATCTGTAAAAAAATAAAATGAGGCAAAATCCGTGTCCACAAGGAACATATATTTTATTTTTGTAGATTATAGCACACTTGAAACTTATTCTTTGGGTCTGTTTATTACCACTAGAAAAATAAATACAAGTGGAAGGAATGGAGACCTCCGTGTCTTCAAATTCTGTATTCTGATCCAGCATCAATTGGCTACAAGTGATAAAATCTGGCAAGAGTTGAGTCACATGTCAATCGCTCAGGAGACAGAAGCACAAGAAAGTCAAGCCTAGGACAGTTGCTATAGAGATGCAATTTCTGTGGAAGTGACTTAGCAGCAAAAGTTTACTGAACTAGGAATAAAATTCAAGAAAGGAATAAGGCACTTACTGTCCGCGTATTCTTACAACTTGCACATTGAGTGAGTGGTAGTTTTTACAAAACAAATATTTGACTCTGAAAAGGTAGAATCATGGCAGTGAAAGGAATGTCAAATGTGCCAATGAAATTTTAAAGAGTGACCTACTTTTGTGGGACAGACAGTCAGGAAAATGTTTAATGAAGGAAATAAAATTTGAAATGGGACTTGTAATATTTTGAATAAGGAGATGCCAAAATTAAAGTGAGGGCAACAATAAGAAAAAAGGCTACAGACAGCAAAAGACAGAGATATTCAGAGAGTAGAGGGAATGTTTTGGAAAAGTTGGATAAGATTATCATGTGGAACATCTTATACATCAGGCTAAGTACCCTCAACTGAATTTCACAGCTAGTAAAAGTTGCTCAAGAGATAAATAATGTTTTAGAGATGTAATTGGTAGAAATAAATAAGACCAGAGCATGAGAAAGTGAATGCAGAGAATGATTTGGAAAGTATTCTAATAGCACAGAAACAATACATTCTCCAAGTAAGAGTCAATGAAGGAGTTAAATACAAAAAAGGCTTTGCCAAAAGAATGAAATAGAATTAAATACAAGTAAGCACAAGAGATTAGTACTATAAGGAATATTAGGATATGTTATCTGAGTCTGGAGAAAGACAGTGGTGCCACTCGCAACTACAATGAAATCCCTAGGGGACATTGATATTTGCTGGGTATAATGAAAAGTTCAATTTTCTATGGGTTGAACCGTGGTGCTAGGCCAGTCACGAAGTTGCAAATGCTTAGTAGGAAACAAGACAGAGTTGGCAAGATGTCTGAAAAGGTTAGAAGTGATATGCATCAAGTTAACGGGCAAAACTGGGTAAATTGCGACATCATCATTTCTAATTCTGGCAAAATAGTCAATATTTCTTAAGACTTTCTACGTGCTGGGCCCTATTAAGTTATTTCATATGTGTTAACACGTTTGATCCTGACAACCACCATATGAGGCAAGGACTTTTTTTTTTTTTTTTTTGAGATAGGATCTCACTGTCACCCAAGGTGGAGTGCAATGGCACGATCTTGGCTCACTGGAACCTCCGAGGTGAGGACTCTTTTGTTTGTTTGTTTGTTTTGTTTTGTTTTTGTTTTGTTTTGTTTTATTTTTGAGACGGAGTCTCGCTCTATCACCCAGGCTGGAGTGCAGTGGCCGGATCTAAGCTCACTGCAAGCTCCGCCTCCCGGGTTTACGCCATTCTCTTGTCTCAGCCTCCCGAATTGCTGCGACTACAAGCGCCCGCCACCTCGCCCGGCTAGTTTTTTGTATTTTTTTAGTAGAGACGGGGTTTCACCGTGTTAGCCAGGATGGTCTGGATCTCCTGACCTCGTGATCCGCCCACCTCGGCCTCCCAAAGTGCTGGGATTACAGGCTTGAGCCACCGCGCCCGGCCTAGGTGAGGACTCTTATATTGAATCTACTGTACAAATGGAGGAGAGAGGGGTTAAATGCTGCCCAAGGTCACAAAACTCATGAGTGGCAGAGCCAGAACAAGAACATAATCCAAATCTGCCTACATCAGGGCCTCTTGAAAGAGGATTGAAATTTATCCCACAAATACTACACTTGCTATGTGCCAGCCACTGTTCTAAGCACTTTATAAATGTTAACACTTTTCACCTCCTCAGAGAATCTGTGAGGAATATACTCTTATTGTTTCTATTTTATAGGTGGGACAATTAAAAATCAGAGAGATTCAATGTCTCAGAGCTATAAGAAGTGAAGGAACTGGTTTTTAAGACTATGGCATTCTGGTTCCAGAGATGGTGCTGCTAATCACTAAGCCATTCTGCCTGTATTAGTCTGTTTTCATACACCATAAAGATGGGCAATTTATCAAGGAAAGAGATTTAATTGACTCGCATTTCAGCCTGGCTGAAGAGGCCTCAGGAAACTTACAATCACGGCAGAAATGGAAGTCAACATGTCCTTCTTCATATGGTGACAGGGAGAAGAAGAATGAGAACTGAGAAAAGGGGATAACCCCTTATAAAGCCCTCAGATCTCCTGAGAACGTACTCACTATCGTGAGAATAGCATGGAGCGACTGCCCCTTTGATTCAATTACCTTCCACCAGGTCCCTCCCACAACACGTGGGGATATGGAGATATAATTCAAGATGAAATCTCGGTGGGGACACAGCCAAACCATATCACTGCCTCTGGAGGATGACATTCTAAACCCATTTTACGTTGCCTAACACACCTGCTGGCAGACTCTGACAGAGTCAAGTCATGCATGAGCCACACACTTGTGCAGAACAGAAATGAAGGAGGAGGCATTCCACTAACCCCCTTAGAATGAGAAGGGGTGCTAAGTGT